TGACGACAATAACAACATTAATTATCATTTTTTTTTTTTATTCCGATACGAATGTAGCACGACGTGCCATTGTAGAGAAGCTTCTAGTGTGCCGCAGGTACATTTTTATTTAGATTATAAATGCGAATAAAATCCTTCCCAACCCGTATCTTCTTAGTAAAGCAAAATAAGAAGGCACAAACACTAAATATTATTAGCAGTAGATACATTATTTAACTTTTCAATAAGGGCTACCAGAATTTTCGACCCACCCTGTCCACCGCACCCAAATTTCGAATAATGTTTGTATTTTGAATGCATGTGTGTTTTAGCTGATTTAAAACATCGAAGAACAACCACGTTATGCGCTTCACACCGCAGATGATAATAATATACTCAGCTCATCATCATTCAATATTTATATCAACTTAATATTGACAATAATGTCCCATGCCGTGAGTTGATCTTACGAAAAGTAAATTTTGCCACAATGAGCATATTTTATGATAATATAAACATAAATAACACAACTATATGTAAGACGATCTTTTAAGATGTGGTAATGCAGCGTATATTGTATACAGTAAAGTTTCCCTGTGCAAACATAATATATATGTAGTCGGTCGTTATCGTTGTGTTAGCCTTAAGCAAACGTATTTTGTGCGAGTTAATGCTGCACTATTATACGACGCTCTATTAGTCTTATACTTTTATGTAATGTACAAAGCGGATTTAAAGAATTTTCTACAAGATCAATACTATTATGCGAACAGACTTTACAAAAAAAAAAAATTGTCTGGCCGATTTAAAACATAATTTAACTTGCCGTAATCCAATTTAATTTGAAAACAGATCTGAACATTTTTTTTCTCATTTTTACAAATTGTATGATGTAACCCTATGGATGATTATTGTATGTGTTTATTGAAATATTTGAATATTTAAATTTAATATTCTACTTGAATTGATATAGGAAATTAGAAATCTAAATATTTCTATTTCACTTTCAATATTTTATGTATACTTCTCTATACGTATTCTTCTCATATGTAATTTATAACATAAGTGATCTAATTAGAATTTTAAAAGGTAAAAGGTATGGTAAATAAATTAGTTCATGAATTTATAACTTGATTTTGTCAACATTGAAAATATAAAGGGTCGTAAAATGACCTTATATTTAAATTAGAGTATCTAATAACAATTTGTAGAAAACTAACTTTGTACTTAAATTTTTTTTTTATTTAATCTTCTTATATTTATTTGCTATTCATCATAATATATATTTAATTTAAAAACTAATACTCAGTATTCTAAGCAATCATTACATTTATTTCATTTTTCACCATTAAAATGAAATTAATGCAATTAAATTTTATTACGCTGAGTTACATATTATATTAGACAACTAAATTCGTAATAAATTATGTAATAGTGTTTAAGATGCTGAAAAATTGTACCTTTACCAAATATTATAAAACTTAATATTATTTTCAAAACATTTTTTTTGAAGATATAATGAAAAAAAAATGAAATAAATGAGTCTTAGGACGTACATAAATTATACAACAATTGAAACACTCATACCTATATACATTGTAGAATAAATATGGATTAATATGTTTATGACAGATAATACTATGCTGTCAGGTACAGAGACATTTCCACCTTAAATTTCATGAAAATGTATATTAGGTAATGTAGAAGAAACAGCCAACGGATTGTGTTGAAGTTTTCGAGTAATTCGGTTTAATAAGACAAAGTACCCATCCACTGCCCATAACAACACAGTTTATTTTAATATTTAAATCAATAACAGAATGACTTTTGAAAATTTACTTCTCGAAAACGTTTCCAAAATTTAAAATTTAAACTTATTTATAACTACAACTAGACAGTGTAAACGTTTTATTAAAATCGATATTTGTTGGAGGTTTTTGAATTCTTTAGTACCTACCCGTTTGTGACCAAGTTAAAATGAATATAATATTATATATTTTACTCTGGAAAAGCTATGCAAATAGCATTTACACGGAAGCCTAATTTAAACAAAAGTCGAAAAGTTATTATTTCACGCAATAGCAATTTGTTTGTAATGAAATGACGTTGAAAACTTCATTCCATTCAAATGAATAATAATTACAGAATGAGAGGTTTCCATATTATTATAATCTCTACGCCAAACAGTATGGTTATGCTTTATCATCGAAAACAAATGCAAACTTTGAAAGTCAATAATTTAGACATGTATACCACGTGATTCACTAATTATAGAAATCATTTCCATAATTAATAATTAGAAAAGTTATTTGATTTAAAACTAAAATTATATTATGATTTTGTTAAAAAAAGTATTTCAATAATAGCATTGTCAAAACCACAATATTGAAATAATATTAAAAATAAATTCTTATGTTACCTAACTAAATTATTAGTTGTAAAACTGTATTTATGTTTTAAATTACAGCAATATTTTATTAGCAGTTGCTATTATTTTTTTATTAGGAATTTCGATAAAATAAATAATATAGGTAATGGATAGGTAATGAAATAAACTTGAAATAGGCAGCATAATAAATTGAAAAATAACTATGTCCTAAAATATATATAATAACAATTTCCTATTGGCAAACACATCACTGCTGCACTCGGCTTATTGGAAGTTCATAAAATGTATACAAAACATAATCTATAATATGAAGAATTATAAAATACCATTAGGTAATTATACTTATTAACTGGTATTTACGATAATATTGTTAGCGTATTAACGTAATACCTATGATAGAGCATGGAATTAATAGGTACTCAATCACATTTTAAACCTATAAGAATCTGATTAAAACATAATCCTAGCAATTATTAAGAAACAGATTTTCGTACTTTTTAAATTATCTAAGCGTATATCAAAATGTAAGCCGATTGAATTATTTGTGACTAATTGTGTGTATTATAATATTATGTTTACCTATAGGTATTGAATGATTTCTAAATTTGACCAAAAAATAGTCTTTGAGTATGCTATATATCCGGCCCAGAGTACCTACAGCGTCAGATTACTACTAAAAGCATATTATAGTAAGTTGAGACATTGTACAGAAGTTACCTACACAACATTTTGGATTTTAGATTAACGTCGTATTATCTTACTTATTGATTTATAACTTTTCCATTATGTTATTTTGTTTTAATGCACTGAATTGTTCTTTTGAATTATGGCGAGTAATTATGTATCCAAATACGAAAGAAAATAAATTGGAATTGAAAAAAAAAAAATGTTTTATGACAAATAAACCACTGTAAGTACACAAATGTCAGACTTTCAGTTGACGTTCTATTTCTTCGACTAAATTCTACATAGTACCTACACATATTCAGAAACATTATGCCATTATAATATTGTGACATTAAGAAGTTTCACTTTTTTATAGGTAATAAAAAATAAATTGATAAACTCCATGTCAACGTTTTTGTGTGCTTTTTCTTTTCTTTTGAATTAAATATTGCATTCATTCAAATCATGAGTATAATTAACGTTGTTAGAGTTTTAAAATGAATAAAAAAAAACCTTTTCGATAACTTTACGTTCGGTGAAGTATATGTATTCCCCTATACGTATTTTGTCATTCGGTGTCATCATTCACTTCACTCCCTTCTAAAAAGCGATGACGTCATTTTAACAGTCCCTTTTCATATAACCATGGGGGTGATGTTCTTGATGTTCGAGCGTTTGTGGTGTTGCCAACGGCGACTTTGATAATACAGACGCAGGTCACTGTCCCCGTGCGTTTTTCTCCTCGCAATAATGTTCAGGTTTCACAACGTTTCTAATGTATAATATGTTTTTATTCTTCTCATTTTTTAATAATTTTTTATGCAAAACGATCCGGACATTAGCGTTATCGTGGTGAAGTAGAACGGAATATTAACAGTAGGTATGATAGGTAGGTATAGTGTACAACTCTAAACCGTCTACTTTTTTTTTTTTTTTTTTTACCAACGAGCGTTTTTGCGCGATTTGAGAACATAATAATATTAATTAACCTCTTCACTGTTTAATTGATTTACTATACTTTTCAAAATGTTTATATATAGCTTTACTCCATATTATTCTAAGAATTGAGTGTAAATAATAATTAGTGTCCTGCAGCATGGTTCGACATTTCAATTATTCAAACACGCTTTTATTTAATTATTTATATAATATACTATTATTTTAGGTGTTATGCTCATATAATATATAATATAATATGAGCATAACACCTAAAATAATAATACATCCAAAAATATGTACAAAGAGGGGATTCTTATGGCCCTATACATATATTATACTTGATATTATATACTATATACCTATTAAGAATAATAATAATTTAACTATTGGTCGTCACTCAGATATTATATTTAATAATACTCGTATATGTATAGGGCCTTTCAAATTTGGTGTGACAAAAATAATGGTTGGTATTATGTTTGTTCTTCCATCACGAACCTCATCATTTTCGTCACACGAAACTTGGAAAAGCCTGTATACAATATTTATTTATATTATATCTATTATATGTGTTTTATGCAGGTGTATATAATGAAGATGATTACTGTTGAAAACCTTCGAGAGTTATGAAATAATTGAACGCATTGAGCATTATAATTTATAAACACGATTTAAACCTGTATATACGCACTCTAATCAAATAACTTTCAGTCTGGTGTAATTAGAAATTGTATTGAAAACTATTTTAATTAGATACTTGATAGTTATTATTTGTATTCAACAAAACTGAGTAAAATTCATATCAAATAAATTGAATCATTTTAGAATATTTTTTTATTGGTCTTAAATCTTAATAATATTATGTACCAAATGTGTACCTAACGTACTATTTTTGAATTCCAATTATTTATAGTTTTCTACATTCATTGATTTTTATTAAGCCGTAGGCATGTAACAAGTAACAACTAACAATACTTGGATGTATAGTTAAATCTAACTAATAATATTAAAGCAAAACGTAACTTACCTTCTAAGTCTTGACCAAGGTTAGAAGAAGAATCATCTGAAAGTTTAAAACTATAAGCTATTTTCTTTTCATTTAAACAAATCATGTAAATACATAATATAATATTAATATAATAATATTTAACCGATAGTGTGAATAAGATATTAAAAACCAAGCGATTTATGTGTAAAAAAACATGGTTTTAAAAGCGAGTAAAAACAATAAATGTTATAATACAATTAAAACGAAATGAAAAAGCCAAAACAGATAAAGCAAAATAGAATTGAATAAAAATAGGTTATAGATTAGAATTTTGAGAATTAAAGGTAATTTATACATTTTCTGATCAGTGTAAAAAAAACTTCTTCTTTTTGTCCTATAGTTATTTAAAAATATCATTATTTTAAACCAGTTAAATTAAGTTATGTCTTATGATACTTTGTTCATAGATTTTAACTTCATAAAATCTTATGTAAGTAGCTCATACAAAAAAACTGAAAGTAATTTAATAAAACAAGATATTAGGCCCATTTAATACAATTTGCCTATTTGTTCATAATTTAATTTATTGATAATACCTAATTAGGATAATAGGTACGATGTAAAAAAAATATTTAATTACGTTAGTTTTTTGAATTTCTTATAAATTATATGAATTCGCATCGAAATGCGCAGGTATGTGATATTGTAATAAATATAGTGTCACTTTAATAGTTTTTTTTTCTTACTAATTTAAAATTATAAAAACAAATAGTATAATATATGACAGCGTACGCCTTTGTGGTTGGGTAAATATTGTCTGTTTAGTGGGACGAAATATTTAATTAAATTTATAAGAAAATGAAACAATCTTGATTGTTGATGTCACTATATGACACTCATAGTTGTCAATTTTTCTTTAAGACAACATACTATTGTCCCGTTTTCTTTTTCTTCTTATTTTTGAGTATAAAAAATGGAACTGTCAATTACTTTTTACAAAATTTATAAACAATACAAGTGAATTTCGAATATGCCTTGTACATAGTTATTATGTTTAGGTACTATTCCTATAGAATATACAGAATTCTCTTATATAACAATGTTAAATCGAAAAGTGTGATAGGGTTTAAGGAGAAAAATTGTTTTACAAATCTGAAATTAAAATACATATTGCTAATAATAAAAACACTAATAGTTATATCAAACAATAACAATAATAACAATAATAATAATTTGTTTAAATTAATCATCGGATCGGACTATGATTCAATTTCCATAATCCGAGCAAGTTTATATTCAATTGGTACCTATTAAATTATTATATTGTGTATAGGTATATCGTGTATAGGTAAATGAACCATAATAAACATAATATAATACAAGCATTTAACACTTTTACTGTAAGATAAACAAATTCATCAGTTTTTAGGCATGCGAATAATATTTTCTACTGTCATTATAGTTATAACTAATTATTATCAATGAAATATACAAATACATCCCTAAATATAAAATGAGACGATTACTAACGGATATCTTATACCAAAGTGATAAACGAATTTTTAAGGGTGGAACATATTTCATTGCGTATGGTCTATAATAAATAATAATCTGATGATCATTTTTATCTTATGTAAACCATATTTTGAAGTTAGATTTGTATAGTCAATATTATATTAGTAAATTCTTAACTAACATACAATTGTATTAATTACTTTTACCTATATTGTATGTTTTTAGTCAACTTTATTGTATTGGCCAATTTGATTGTATTGGATCAATGTAAATGTAAATTGCAGTATTAATATGATAATGTATATAATAAATATAATATTATTACAAATCGAGATCTCATGGGCACCACTCACGAATCTGTTCAGTGGTGTCCATTATCTTTTTGAAGAAATAAAACAATAATAATAATATTGTTAATAATAATTCAACGAACAAGAGTTATTTCATCGTTCGGTGAAACGAATCTAAAATAATATAATTTATAATTTAAAGTAGGTATGGCGTATATGTAGGTACATAGAGGTTATTTCACTAATAATAGTTATCCGTATTTTGTGTTTGTAAATTAAATCTCATAAAATATATTAATTTTGGTATTTGACTTTTTAAAATGAATTTTTATTCTTACCGGGGGAAAAAAATGTATTATATAAACTTGGTCGTAAGATTTAAATTTCTTATAAAATCTGATCGACTATTACAGTAAGTATTTATAATGCTTTAAACGCGTTATTCATTATGATTAATTTATTAATTTAAGAGGGTTTCACACTTATACTACAACGCGCATAATATGACAGAATAAAAATCTCAGTCTCAGTCTCTGGGCGATCGTTAAGGCGCGTGAATAATACACATAATATTCGAAATCCCCAAAAACTCGAAAACTAGACGACGACGATCGTCCCCGATAACAGCGATATGACTATATAACGTATAACGACACTGATGGTACCTCAATCGTTTACAGTGAAATGTGACCCGTCTCTACCCAATACCATCTACCGTATTATTACGGCGGAACCTCGGTATCTGGAAGTCTCGGAGGGACCAACAAAATAATTTGACATATAGGTAATTGAAAATATGCGATCGTGACTGATAACGTCAATATAATATTTTGACGTACAGAAACGTCGAGACACCCCGAGGTTCCAATGTATTATTATTATTATTATTATTATTATTACTGTTACTGTTATTGTTGTCATTACGCCGATGACGCGGGCGTGCAGCACAATGCTCGGCGCACGGTGGAATTATAATATATTAATATCCTTCACAGCGCACCTGTCTTAGGGTACGAAATGCGAGCAAGCACAATATTATTATAGTGGTGTGTGCCTATGATGTAGGTGTGTATATTATAATAGTGAGAGTGAGTGAGCGGGTGTGCGGGTGAGAGTGCGGGTAGGAGAGGGAGTGCGATGGAGCGAGAGGCACCCCGGCCTGTAACGGATATACGGGAACCGCGACGACGATATTATTATTGTGTTTAAATATCTTCCGGTCACGTATTGTTACACGTATCTGTACATAGTGTCGATGTGTATTTAGTGTCACCCGTGAGAGTTCCGGACGTCATCGGTGGCGGCATCATCGTCGGTGTAATAACTACTGCCTATTCTACGTACCTATACGTCGAGCGTTTTGTTTTTGGGTTTCGTCATCGACGGTCCCGCCCCGAAATATTATATGCGTTTTCCGAACGCGACCATACACACTTTGATATGCCATATGGTCATGCGGATATGGCCAGATGGATCTGCGTTGGGGACGTGTGTATAAGGGGAACACAGAGAGGGGAGTTTTTGAGGCTCAAGCACCACGCGAAAATAATTTAATAGTCCTCACGACGAAATTAAAATATGAAAAAAAAGTTAAAGTAGTCGGCTTAGAAAAAATATGCATATACATATTATATACATGAAACAGTCCGTAGTGAAAACATTCAAACCCACTATGTATAGGGAAAGGATACACAGTAATATAATTACGGGCGCAATTCAATTCATAACCGTGTAATTTAAGTTGTCGTGTGGGGAAAATAATATAATATATGGTCAGCGATGTGAGGCGATTCGGAGAGACTCCGGAATGTAAGACTCGGCATTATTACGGGACGAAATTAATTTTTATAATGTAATACGTATTATTATTATTAATGTTATTGTTATTTTTATTATAATTGTCATCTTTTACGTGCTCGTGTTTTTCGAATCAATTATAATATAAATTACGTCTAAATGAAAAATTAAAAAGTGATACACTCGTTATAGAATTTCTAGATATTAGAAATTCCGGTATTATTGTCGGTATACCCGTGATAATAAACGAAATATTACGAGAGTACATTATATGATATCCTGGCCCACACGTAATTAACGCAGTAAGCCGTCACGCCACTGGAAAAGGTGGTAAAATTCGAACCTTGACCCGATGTTCAACCGGCCCGGATGACTGGAGCGGTGAATATCGCCACCGAAACGGGTTAAATAGTTGCTGGAAAGTGTCGTTATAACGCCATGTCCGATGTTGAGCTAAGCAGCAGCTGGTGCTCGCGGTCCTCGGGGTGGCGCGGAAAGCAATCATCAAGCACTCTCGTGCATTACCAGATGTTGGTGACGGCTTCAGCGGCTATGATGAATTTTCGATGGGTGGTGAGGGGTATTGGGGGGGGGGTTGTAGGGGGTACAGAGAGCGTACCTATTTGGCGAGCAAAGCGATAGTGGTTAGATAATATTATATTATGCGATTAGGTAGTGGAACCCGTCACAAAAATATAAAATATTGTTATTGTTGTCATATCGTCATAGAAATATCAAACTGCGCACTGAAACTTCCATTATATATAATATTATAACGAACTTCCATTTAGCAACATTTTCTAATAAGCGAAACATTTTTTAGAACCAAACAAAATTTATTTAATTATATTTAACGAACTTCTCTATGATACTAATTGGTTTTTTTTTGCCCGTGAGACTTATATGAAAGTTTCTCGGCGGTGTGTGATAGGATATGGTTATATTATTTCGAATCGTCGAATGGGCGGAATTGGGCCAAAATTAATGGAAAAAAAATGGCAATATGCGTGAAAAAAAGCGTTTTCAAACGCCACACACACACACACACGCATACACAAACACACACACACGTGCGTGACGGCAGAAGAATAATAATAAATCGATAACCACGTGTTGTGTGCGTGTGGTGCGCAGCGGCATCGGCGTGCGTATTATATACATAATAACAATGTCAATAATAATAATAATAATTGTGCTTATTTGATTCGCGTAAACTATATTAAAATATAAATAATAAGGTATTATATAATAATATTTTATCGTGTGTACCGTGCATACCTGCCAAGCGGAGCGCCGACATCCTCTGGAATTCGGGTTCCTGAAGCCACTTCCACATGCGGCGGAACGTCTCCCGGCCGGATTTCAGCTTGGACCAGGGCTTGGGGTTCCGGAGCAGATCGGACAGCGTGCCCTGCGACCGGCACAGCACGCGTTGCGCGAATATCGCCTGCGGTATACTATACCGTTTCAGTTCGGCGCTGATCCGCTGTGCCAGCTCTTTGGTGTTGATCTCCTCCATGTCGGAACCGCTGCCATTCGACCCGGACGCCGACGACGCGTTCTGAACCAGCACCGTGGTCGTGGTGGTGATCGATTGCGTCTTGATCAGCGTGGTCTGCTGCTGTTGCAGTTGTTGTTGTTGCTGCTGCTGCTGCTGTTGCTGCTGCTGTTGTTGTTGTTGATGCTGTTGCTGGTGCATCATCTGCATCCTCTGCGAGTGGTCGGGTGGCGAGGGTGAGGACGTGGTGACCACAACCTCCTGGGGCTGTATGATAGGGTGTATGACCAGCGAAGGTGAGTGCCTGGGAGATACCACTACGCCACCACCTCCCCGGCCAGGATGAGGCGTGATGGTGGTCAGCCCGTTGACGTTGGAAAGCGTGGTGGTTCCACCGTAGCTGGACATGGGTGGCGAGTGCAGTGAACCCGAGTTTTGGCTGAGGTCGGGACTGTGCATGGCGTTGGACGCTCCCGACCGGCCGCCGGGCCCTATCTGCGTGTACGGCGAGTCATAGCAGCTGTTCGGCGACGACATGCTCTTCTGCGGTGAGTTGAGGCCACCTCCACCACCGCCTCCGTTTTGACTGTACGACGCGCTTTGTGGCGATATCGGCGAGCCCTGTTGTGGCGGCATGTGGTGCATGTGTGTGGGCGAATAGTGGTTGGGCGAGTGCATACCCATCTTGTCGTACGTGTACGGGCTGTTAACCACCATGCCTAGGCCGCCGATGTTGTTCTGCATGACCGTGAACGATCCGGACACGTTGTTGGAGTGACCGTACACGAACTTGTCGGACATGGTCGATATGGGCGGCAGAGGTTGGAGAGGCGTGAGCGTGGCGTACGACGAGTTGGGGCTGTAACCGGGTGGCGACATCCTACCGTTGACCGATGTGAGCGTCTGGTAAGTGGGCTCGGGTTGTTGCTGTTGCTGTTGCTGCTGCTGCTGCTGGTGGTGGTGCAGCTGAAGCACGCTGTTGTTGCCGGCCCCGGAGCCTGCTCCTCGGTGGTAGTCTTGCGACTCGATCATGCCGGCCACGCTGACGGAATGCCTGGGGTTGGGGTTGAGTCTGGATGATCGGTTAGCCCGGTCGTCGTCCGGGTGGTGTACGATCACAGTGATGGTGCTCTCGGGTGGTTTGCCGTCTTCAACGATGACGCCACCGGTTCCACCACTACCGACACCACCTCCACCGCCACCGCCGCAGCCACCTCTAACCACGACCGTCCCTCCTACGCCGCGGCGGCTACCACCACCGTTACTCTCGACCGGCGATCGGTCCGAGTTTTGGAGGTGGTGTTGCTGTTGCTGCTGTTGTTGTTGCTGTTGGAGGTGCGGATGGTGTTGGTTTTGGTGGAGGTGTTGGTGATGGTGGGCTTGGTGGTGCTGGTTCTGTTGGTGCTGCTGCTGCTGTTGCTGCTGGTGCTGGTGGCCGCGATTGTTCTGATGGTGCTGCTGGTGGTGGTTGTTATGGTCGTTGTGGTCGTCGTCGTTTTCGTCGTCCAAGTCGTCGTCGTCCAGGTCGTCTTCCGAGTCGTCGTCGTGCTGGACGGGCCGCGAACAACGTGCATGGCAAACGATCCTGCTGGCGGGCTGCGACCGCGGCACTCGCGTGATGCACAGTTCGCGTGTCGGTGGCGGCTCGGCGACGGGGCACGCGGACTGCCGACCGGCGTCGACGTGCGCCCGCACGTCTTGGGGCGAATCGATTGTCTCGACCACGACTTCGTTGAGCGGCGACTCTGGCGCCATGTTGTGAACGTTTTCCATCCGGCGAAGAACGTCCGCTCTCACTCGTGTGCCGGCTCCGCGTGTCTCGCACTGTTGTAGTCGCGCGCGCGCACACAGTACTGTCCCTACCCTCGGTCCTATGTATGTGTGTATGGGTAGTGTAAGTGTAGTATGCTCTCACCACGTGTGTTGTACACCGCGAGAGTGTGACCGCCAAAAAAAAAAAAATAACAATTGACAGCCGTCGGTGGTCGACCGGTTGTGTCGGTATGTGCGGGCGCACACGCACTATTCGGCGGTCCACCGGTGCCGGAGGAACGACAACAACACTGGTGCGGCGTCCGAAAACATTTCGCGCGCGCTGCCTCCTACGCGGCGTGTGGCGATGGTTCCGCGCGCGTCAGATGAGCGTCGTCGTCGTCGACGGTGGCGGCGTTGTCGGCGTGCGCGCGCGCCTTACCGGTGTCGTATGGGTTGCGCGCGAAATCGACGGCGACCACTGCCGCGTACCGCTGCTACTGGAAATCCATTGGCAAAATTCATTAAGACCGATCGATGTACGCGAAAACACGAATCCGACTGGATCCGATAACAATTAACGATTCCGCAGCGGTATTGACGGCACGGGACGGGCGCCGCAACTGCCCGCCGTCGGCGGCGACGGGTGCATGTCTCGCCACCCCACGTTTACCTCCTCCGCACCGCCGATCGTCCGCTCACGCGTTCGAGTCGCCGTGCTCGTAACGCGCTATACTCGGGTACACGCGCGACGACGACGACGACGACGAGAACAACAACAAACGACGTCCGACACGAAATATTAATACAGTGTCGTTAATGTCGTGTATAGGTATTAATGTGAAAACGGTGGAAAAATCAACAACGACGTTAACCTGCACCAACGATATTGTTTATTATATAATCGACACGAAACGCGTACGAAGAGATGTAGTGTACACGGATCGGTGGTATCGCGGTATCGAGCGCGGTTCGACCGTGACACACTCAGAAGCAGTGGCGGACGTGTGCGCTCACCGACCGCTTCGATCGGCCGATGGATCGCTATTGAAGCGTTATATCGTATTTTGGATTTAGACGCGTTATCGTATTTTATTCGCGTTGGTTAAGGATTTTACGCTCGAGTATACAAATGCGTGGTGTGCATGCGGCGGAGGCGACGAGCGGACAACGTCGCGTTTCGTATTATATTATTATAATATTATACGTGGCGTTATTACTATTATTATTTTTTCCTCTACTATTTTCCGGGGGCTTTTTTTCTTTTCCCCATACCGTTTTGCACCCTCCCACCGCCGACGCCACGTCCCCTAAACAGTTCGCTTTTGCGGCGAAAGCGCGCCGGGCGGCTTGGGCCGGAGTTACGCGGCACTACACTCCGAACAATATATTGATCCGTTTCGGTGGGTAATTGAGCGCCGACGAAAAACTGAGTCGGCGGATAGTCGCCACGGATCGTGGGCGGAGAGGGGTGGCGAAACACCCTCCCGTCGACACCGGCTATACACCGACAATGGCGCGCGCGCGCGCCTAAGTGCGCCGTGTATGTGGGTAAACGCGTGATGGGGTGGCGGTGGTGGCGGGGGGAACACGCGCGTTCACCCTATCGCCGTGTGTGCAGCTGGACACGCGGGGCGACGGCCACACAACACACACTCACACGCGCACAAGCACACACGACATTATAATACTCGCGCGGAGGGTTGCCGTCGTATAATATTATACACGCGAATAATATCATGCTGTGCGTGTGCGTGCGTGCGTGGTTTTGTGCTTGTGCTGGTGCAGTGGCGAGTATAGTCTAGTTTGTTGTAGTCGTCCCTAGTCGCACGCACGCACGCACGCCCGCGAGCGCGCGATAAACATAAAATAATAATAATATTACGTGCGGCGAAAAATCGTATATGTGCGCTGAGCCGCCGCCACGATAATGTATTATATGAAATCGAAGTTCTCCAGCCGATATAACGCAACCGCCGCCGCCCGCCGCCCACCCGAAGCGTGTTCCGCGTGCGGGCGGTGCGCGAGTGCGGCGCGCGCGTGCGCCCGTTATAAGGAGGGTGTTCGATCGATTTTTCGATTTTACGAACGCGCGAACCGTCGTTACAATAACGACCGTAATAATATCGCGGGCCCGTAATAATATGCACAGCGGCTCGCGTTATCGGTCTGAGGATTGCTAAGAATGCTACGACCGTCGTGCAGTGTTGTGGCAATAATATTATAATATTAAAATAATATTACATAATGATATCACGAAAAAAAAAAAACGATAATGTGTCCGATGGAGAAGCGGGAGAGAATAAACGATAAATCAATCCGACGATCGATCGACTTACGTTAAATGATAATTATTGATAATATTAATAATGATAATATATCAAAGACTCCGTACCGCAGTTTAGGTGTGACATTCTGTGATATTAGACAGGGTGATTTTTTAAGCATGCTCACCCCCTCACTTTTTCACCTTTAATATTTCATTTATTCAAATTCTGATTTTTAGAATTTTCAAGTATACCCATGAACACCGTATTTTCAAATTTCTGATATTTTTAGTAGGTAATACTTGATGTCCAAACTTCTATTTTTCAAATGAGATCACCATTTTTTACTGCAAATTTTTTAGCGGTTGATTTTCTTTAAAATGTTGATGTATCTAAATCAAAATTCTAATAAGTAGTTTCTGAGTTATTAAAATGTGTATACTAAGGATAATTATCCTTAAAAATGGTTTTATAAAAATAAAAATAATATTATGTAGTATTTATAATACTTCGTTTATTTTTACATGTTACCTACTTGTATTGACAAATCAATAATAATTACTAACTTTTTTAAGTCATCTAAGCCTATATACATAATTTAGGCATAAGACTTGGATGAGCTGCTTAGAAAATCACCCTGTTAAATATATAGTAACCGTTAAAAATGTATGGCGGTGCAATAAAAAATGTGTGATCGGGTTTCTAACGTGTCTGTATCATTTCATTCAGTATACCTTCCGATGACATGAATCATCATCAGTGTTGGGAATTATCTTGATAAAATTATTTCTTAAATTATCTTATCTAGATAAGAATAATTAAACCATCTAATTATCTTATCTAAATACATGTAATGGTCATCTGTGGTAATTTATCTAGATAAATAATATAATTATAAGAATATTTTTAAACTGAATTAAATATATTTTAAACTCATTTTTACTGAATAGCCAATCATTTACGATAACCGAGTAGTGATTTCAAATTCTAATATTAATATAGTTAAAAAAAGAAATGTTGAAACATTGTCAGTTTTATTTTGTTATTTTATTTTTATTTAAGTTATATTAAAAATTAAAATTGTGTATTATTTTAGTTAAGAAATGACATTATGGATTTATTAATCAATAAATATTACTTAATTAGTAATTACTAATAAAGTAATAAATTATATTATTTATAATATAATTTAAAAACAAATCATCTATTTTTTTATCTAGATAAAATTTTTTTTTATCTTATCTAGGTACATTTTGAATGAATTATTGTTTTTTGGTTATCTTTTCCCAACATTGTTCTCAATACATCCTCACTTCTTAGTGACATTTAAAAAAATATTTATTTTATCAGGTTAATAGCAAGTTTTTAATCCTTATGAGTAAACTAAGTGGTACCCGAAACCACGCACGAAGTAAAAAATTTACACCGAAAATCAACAATTATTGTTGGGTTTCTGACACGTTTATAATACCATCCTCATTTGCAGAACGCCTTCCAATAACATGACTGACTTTAAATTTATAAAAAAAAACATTTTAAAGATATTTATTTTAGCAGGTTTACAGGGGTGAGTTTTTACCCCTTACGAGTAAACCAAGCGATACCATTAACCGCGGAAGTGGTCATGGGGTTAATATCATCCACTGCCGGCGAAGCGGATTGTCGATCTATAACAATTTGATACACCGGCTTTTATTGTACTACTGCACTTGACCCGTGACCAGCGGGAATCCTTTGTAAGCGCCTAAAATGCCCAAAAACGAACCAACTGCTGCGACACCCGTGGCACGAATATAGGGAAAATATTCAGGTGTACTCAGCCCCCTTTTTAAAAATAAATGTGCACAATTCTGTGTTTCTGTAATTTTGTACAAAACTTGATTTTGCATATTAAGTAACAATAACATAATGTAACATATTATTATTATTATTATAGATAAGTACCATCAAACATACCGTAAATTCTATTTTTATTTTTTGAGAGAGCTATTGGAGAATTTCCGGGGGCTCAGCTTTGCCCCTCCCCTTCCTACTGTGACAAAGATAATAAATATGTTATAGTCGTCAATGCGATATTACCTTTAAACACGTTCTGTCGACGACATCAATTTTCCGGCTTTGACGTTTTGAAACGGTAAAAAAAGTGCTCTATCGATAGACGTTTATCGGATGGTTACACATTGTCCATTGCACGTAATATCGATCAATGAACAAAATGAACAAAAAACATCAATTATTTTAAAACAATTGCAGACGATCGTTATTAACGTATCGATTGGGTAGTACATTCATGACTGTATAACTATAATATTGTATTGTCGAATGTTATTAAAAAAAGGGGAATATTGTGACGTTTTAATTATTATTATAACCGAAGATTTCAGTTTGAAAGATGATTTTATTTATCGTCGACGTTATGACTATAAATTATTGTTGCTGGCCTGCGGATTACATAATCACATTTTCGCAATTTCGCACAATAATCAGTTACACGTTTTCTAAATTTAAATATAACTGTTCTGTGATGTTGAACGTTATTTCTTATACTTATTAGATTTATGCATTCAAGCTCATTTTAGACGCCAACGACATGGCTTCAGTTTCACAATGGATCACTAATAAGTAATAACCACTGGAGTTTCACCTGGTAATATATTCCTTTGAGAACTAAAAACACTGGTATACCTGGTCATATTAAGATCATATTTAAAGAATACTATTATTTCTCTTATATAA